GAGGAGGAGGAGGAGAAGAAGAAGAAGAAGAAGAAGAAGAAGAAGAAGAAGAAGAAGAAGAAGAAGAAGAAGAAGAAGAAGAAGAAGAAGAAACGTGTTGATAAACTATTAAACATGACGAAGTAAAGATGTTGGCCAGGAAAGGGACCCACCCCACTGTGGCTTTGTCTTCCTGGTTTCATCTTTACCTGGGGTGGCCAACAATAAAACTGGAAAATAATTTAGCCACAGTTGCCATCCTTAGCATGGGCTCCCTCCCAGGAAAGGTCAGCATGACACAAGGTGACTTGAGGTCATGGGGAATGTGTTGCCCACACAAGCGTGACCCTCCATGACCCCAGACTGCTGTGCGAGCCTCACACCTGCAGCCTTGTTTGGTGTGGTGCTGGAGACCAGACTCGGGGCCTTGTGTATGCTAAGCAAGTTTTCTACCAGCTAAGCCACAGTCCACGCAACAGAAATATTTTTAAATTAAAATGAGCATATTTTGGGTCATCAAAATGACCACTCTGTGATGGAATGTTATCATGAGATCTCTCTGTCCACATTTAGGGCCAAAATGTACTTTGAGTCAAGATAATATGAAGAGTGTAAAGAACCAGGCGGTGGTGGCACACACCTTTAATCCCAGCACTGGGGAGGCAGAGGCAGGCAGTTATCTGTGAGTTCGAGACCAGTATGATCTACAGTTCTAGGACAGCCAGAGCTGTTACATGGAGAAACCCTGTCTCAAAACAAAAACAAAAACAAAAACCACTATGTATGATGGAGCTGGAGAGATGGCTCAGTGGTTAAGAGCACTGGTTGCTCCTCCATGGGACCCAAATTCAATTCGCAGTGCCCACATAGCAGCTCATAACCATCTTTAACTCCAGTAACAGGGGGCCCACAGCCCTCTCCTGGACACCAGGCATACATGTGGCACACAAACACAAATGCAGGCAAAATGCTCATGCACAGAAATAAAAATGCAGTATTTTACAATGCAAATGAACCAGTTATAGTGACTTACTTCTATAATCCTAGCAGCCCAGAGGCTGAGACAAAAGTATTGCCATTCATTCAATGCCAACCCGGGCTGCATATCAAGACACTGTCTCAAAAATAAAAAAAAAAAAAATGATAACAACTTCCAGATAAAGTAAAGAGCTAATATTAAAATACTTTCTAAGCCGGGGGTGATTACACAGCTCTTTATCCCAGCACTGGGGAGGCAGAGGCAGGCGGATCTCTATGAGTTCTAGGCCAGCCTAGTCTACATAGTAGGTTCCAGGCCCACTAAGGCTATATATAAGACATCGTCTCAAAAAAAAAGTTTTTTTTAAATAGATATATCTATTTAATTAGTATTATTAACTGGTATCCAGTTTTACATTTTCTCTTCTTCTTAACACAGACATTTTTATCTGATCTTGGCATTAAGAATCCCTATTGTAAAGCAAATTTAAACTTAGAAACCACTAGGAATAAAAAGGGATAGGTGGATGAATTTGACTTAATAAAAACATGAACCCAGGGGCTGAGACAGGACTCCCTGGCAAAGGGTACCGCTGCTCTTTCAGAGGACTGGAGTTCAGTCTAACACCTACATTGGGAGGCTCACAACCACCTGTAACTTCAGCTCCAGGGTATCTGTGATCTCTTCCGGCCTTGGTGGACACCCACACATATGTGTACATACACACACACATAAGTAAAAATAAAATAGTTTAAGAAAAACACAACTGTCTATACAGTAAGATACCATAAATAAAAATCATAATACATTAAAGAAAATATTCATGACATATATGAGACAAGAAAAAATAAAATAAGCCAGGCGTGGTAGCTCACATTTATAGACCCAGTACTCAGAGGCTGAGACAGGAGGATTGCCATGAGTTTAAGGCCAGCAGGGCTTTAGAGTGAGATCCTGGTCTCGAAAAAGAAAAAGAAAGGAAGGAAGGAAAGCAGGGAAAGAGTGGGGGGGCAGAAAGTAAGCAGGGAGAGAGGGGTGAGGGGGGACAGAGTGAGGAGAGAGGGAGGGGTGAGGGGGGACAGAGTGAGGAGAGAGGGAGGGGTGAGGGGGGACAGAGTGAGGAGAGAGGGAGGGGTGAGGGGGGACAGAGTGAGGAGAGAGGCGTAGATGGACTGCATGTGTCACTGATGTGTTCTTGCATGTTGAAAATGCAAGTGAGGAGCTCATGGCCATTTCAGTAAGAAGAGGGAAGAAAAGTGGCCTGTCCACTGGTGACTGGCAGAGTCAGCATGCCCAGCTCAGAAGTCCACCCTTCCTCACATTCCACACATTGTCTCTCCAATTACTGTGGCTCTTTTCAAGTTTATTAGTGTGTAGACTGATGTGCACTTTCATTCTTGTATTAGTGTGTAAACTGGTGTGCACTCTCATCATTGTATTAGTCTGTAGACTGGTGTGCACACTCCTTGTTTTGGTTGTGTAAATACACGCTAAAGAGTTTTAACTCTACTTAGTGCACATTTGAACAGCACTGCTGACCTCAAGTCAATGCCACAGGACTTTTTTTTCCTGAAGCAAGTCCACATGTTACTCACATTTAAGAAATCCTACAAGAGAGGAAAACAAGTCTATAAAACAGCCGCCATTAAAATCTACCCGAATCACTAACATTTTGCTGTTCTTTGTGCTTTTAATTTCTAATGTCACTCTAAACACTCACTTTTCAGAATGCCTGCCAAATTCTCCTGGAGCGTCTTCGTCCCATCATCAAGAAAAACCCTGAGGGAAAATGGAAGGAATGGGTGAGTGTTCTATTTACTAACCTAGCCAGGAAAGAGCAATGCCACACACACAGGTAAAAGTCCTCAATGTGTGCACTGGGGGGCAGCACCCATCCAAAGCTTGGTGTCTTCTTCTTAGCATCTTCTGCTTCTTCAGAACGGTAAGAGGGGTGTATGTTCAGAGAGCTGACTTCATTTCAGAGCCGGTATTTCAGAGTGCAAGAGCACCATGAGTTCTAAAGTACAACCCACCTGGGGCTGCACCCCTGCGCTGCAGGACTGGCTGTAGGGCAAGCCCTGTGCAGTGGAGAGTATAGCATTCTTAAGACCAAAAGACTGGAGACTTTAGAGATGGCCAGCGGTTAAGAGCATTGGCTGCTCTTACAGAGAACGTGAGTTCAGTTCCCAGCACCCACACGGCAGTTCACAACCATCTGTAACTCCAGTTCCAGAGGAACTGACTCCCTCTTCTGGCCTCTAGGGGTACTGCACACATGCAGTGCACATACATACAAGTAGACAAAAAGTAAATATTTTCAAGAACCAAAAGATTATTTTACTTTTAATAGTTGTATTGCAACCACCACCATCATCTCCTACAGCACTCTCCAGCACAGAAGCTTGCTGTGGGATGGTCTGTATGTCAAATGTGTGCTCTGATTGGTCAATAAATAAAACACTGATTGGCAGGAAGTATAGGCGGGACTAACAGAGAGGAAAAAAGAAAGAACAGGAAGGCAGAAGGAGACACTGCCAGCCACCACCAGGACAAGCAGCATGTAAAGATGCCGGTAAGCCACGAGCCACGTGGTGACAAGGTATAGATTTGTAGAAATGGGTTAATTTAAGCTATAAGAACAGTTAGCAAGAAGCCTGCCATGGCCATACAGTTTGTAAGCAATATAAGTCTCTGTGTTTACTTGGTTGGGTCTGAGCAGCTGTGGGACTGGCAGGTGACAAAGATTTGTCCTGACTGTGAGCCAGGCAGGAAAACTCCAGCTACAGAAGCTGACATGACGGTTCAGTAGACAATTGATCAAACCGACAGAATGAGAAGCAGAGCAATATACTACATACATGCATGCCTGTATTCACACCCTGTGTACATGTACATAAACACAGCCTAGTCACCTCACTAAAGTGAAGGACCAAGAATGTGGAAAGTCATAAAGTCGCTACATGGTGTGACCCAACACAGTGAGAGACCCAGAGGGCAGCCAGCAGCCACATCAAGCCCCGCCTCTGGGAAGAGTGCCCTGTATATTACACACAGGCTTAAATCTCCCAGGGAGTAGACAGGAATCACAGACCGTGGCACAAGCCAGAAGCAAGCCCAACATGGAAGGTGCTTTTATTACTTTCCACAAACTTCTATTTCTTTGAGACAAATCGTCCTTTCCAGGTTGCAAAGGCCTTCGAAGAATCCATCAGCCTCTCCGCCACCGGATACTTCAAGTACGTGGTGTTCTTACATGGCTTGTGTGGTACTTGGGCAGCAGTCGTGTGGCCGGTGTTAAGTCTGGGGTCACAGGATCCCTTCGGTGGGGGAGGAAGTGAGAGGGAAGAAGGAGAGAACAATTCAGAAGCTCCGGGCATGGTCGCCATTACCAGCCAAGAAGCTCTGTAGTTATGGAGCTCTGTCCTACACACACGTGGTCCAGCTCAGCACCACCTGCACACTGGACAGCAGGGTCGGATACCAGGCCATCCGTCACCGCCAAAGTCTGCTGGGGTCTGCTTCGAGCCCCGGCCATACAATCCCTCAAGGGAGAAAGGGAGCAGGTCTCCAACTCCAAGGCAGGGCCCGCAGCCCATCTGCCCTGCTGTCTCCAGGACTCCCACAGCCATGCCATGACCCACACCACTCTGCCTTCTCTTCTCAGAGGCTACCAGACAAACATGGACTGGGAGAAGGAGGAAGGCAATGCTTACCCGTACTATGTCTACAGCGCAGCCTGTTCGGAGGTCGAAGTTGACTGCCTGACGGGGGCTCACAAGGTAGAATGTTGCTTGCGTACCCCACCTTCGCAGGGTACGAACGCACACTGTCGTGTTTCCTGTACTGTAAGGAACAGCCAACTTGACCTGGCAGGGGACAGATAGATAATCTTTGTTGTTATAGATGGTTTTTTTAAAATCCCTTTTCAGTAAATAACATTGCCCGCTGTATATTTCCTCCCTTGCGAAGCTCCTGAGGACCGACATCTTCATGGATGCTGCCTTCAGCATAAACCCTGCCCTGGATATCGGGCAGGTATGTGACTCCGGGCCACACCCAAAGGGACTGCGTCAATTCCATTTGTAGGAAGATTGTGAGTTTGAGGTTAGCCTGGGCTACGTAGAAAACTGTATCTGAAAAGACAGAGAGAAAAAGACAGAGAAAGGAGGAAGGAAAAAGAAAGGGAAGGAAGGAGGAAGAGAGGAGGAGGAGGGAGGGAGGGAGGGAGGGAGGAAGGGAGGGAGGGAGAGAGGGGCCTCAGGGAGGTGCCAGTGTTCATGTGGAACTTGAAAGGTGAACAGGAGTTTTCCAGGTGGACACGTGAGGTAGGTCATGTGAGAACAGTCAGGAGAAAACACACGTACAGACTTGGAGATGAGAAGGATCATGTGACAGGATTTGGAACATGGACAAGGCAATGTGAGGGCCCAAAATACAAAGCCAGGCAAGATGGCAGCGGCAGCTTCTCGGGGACACTTGGTAAAAGCTTCCACAGAGCTTCTGAGAGTGGTTTCCTGTGACTCAGAGCTCCGCTTTCATCCCCACGAGGGTATCTGTTCAGCCAATACCATAGGCTTCTTACCCACAAAACTGTGCCCACAGATCGAGGGAGCGTTTATCCAGGGCATGGGACTCTACACCATAGAGGAGCTGAAATATTCCCCAGAAGGTGTGCTCTATTCTCGGGGTCCAGATGACTACAAAATCCCCACTGTCACCGAGATACCGGAAGAGTTCAACGTCACTCTGGTGCACTCTCAAAATCCCATCGCCATCTACTCATCTAAGGTAAGAGTGGACAACCTCTGTATTCGCTGGGAGAGAACAAGTCAGTGGGTCCTTAACAAAAAAAATACCACAACCCGGAGGCTTAAAGAGGTTTGTTTCCCTAAAGTCCCCAGTGAGATATTTGCAGACTTGGTTTCTTGGGTCCTACTTCCTTTGACTTACTGATCTGTGTCCTGCTGTCCCCTGTGTCCCTGTCATACTGGACAAGGGCCTAACAGAAGAGCCTCATCTTAATGTAAGCAATTCTTAAACAACCTTATCTCTAAATGCAGCCGGGGACTGAGAGGTTGGCCCGTCAACATGTCTAAAGAGAGACAGAATTCAACCCTTAATAGCCTCCTCCATCAAGAGATCATGAAACAGGCTATTCAATTTGCTTTTCCCTTTGACTTGTAAGTCCCCAAAGGCGGAGTGGTGATGCTCACAGACTCCAGAAACCCACGTAGAGTCTCCGCTCTGAACCATGAAACAAATTGGAATCCAGTGAGGCGTGTGGCGGAGTCTCTGGGCATCTCGTTCCGCTAGGCTGAGGTCACTGGCAGAGAGACTGACATTGTTTGCAAAGTCCAGCAAAACAGAGTTCTCTTGTCTCCAGCCTCTGCACCTGTCCTGCAGAATCTCCCCCACACACATACAACCACACCCTTTCCAAACCAGGGTGGGATTTCAGCTAGCTCCACCCTGGCTCTTTGCTCTAAGTGTCCGTGGTCACTTATTCTCGAGGTATTGGCTTCCTGCTTTCTAGAGCATATAGCCTTTAACTAGCCACTATCTCCAAGTCCGGGGCATCTGACACCCCCTCTTGCCTCCATAGACATCCTCATACAGGCGGCCTCTGTTCTGTCTCCAACACTGTAAAGGAAAAAATTAACTGAAAGACAGGTACCCTAGAAGGACATGGTCTTCAGGGCTCTACTTGGTAGGAAAACAAGTGTTTTTAGATGCCTGCTTTCCTAGGGCATGTTCACCAGGTATTCTTATCAGAACCCCACTCACAAATTACAATGGGGGCCTAGTCTCAGCAACTCAGATACACCCCTTTCTTGGGAATGATAAAGCCAGAAAAGTGTGCGCGCACGTGTGTGTGTGTGTGTTATGTGTGTGTGTTTGTGTGGTGTGTGTGTGTGTGTGTGTGTGTGTGTGTGTGTGTGTGTGTACTAAACCTAAAGAACCTTCCATTTCTAACTACCTTTTATGTTCTTCTCAGGGACTGGGTGAGGCTGGAATGTTCTTGGGATCCTCAGTTTTGTTTGCCATATATGATGCCGTGACCGCGGCCCGCAAGGAGCGTGGGCTGAGCGACACCTTCCCCATGAATAGCCCGGCAACACCTGAAGTGATTCGCATGAGCTGCACAGACCAGTTTACGGACATGGTAAGAGAAGTCCATACTGTCACCACCCCACGCGTGGACGTTAAGGTTCTGGATAGGGATAGGATAACCATGACGACATTGCCGGTCATGTCCGTCTTTTCCAATGAAAAGTCTCCATTTGCCTCCACTCGCCACTTCCCACGTGCCTCCAAACGTCTTCAGAGGCTGGCTTGTTTCTGACCCTAAAGAAATAGCACACTAATAGCAAAGGGACGTGGCAGATTGCTTCTTTAAATATTTGATCAAAATGCAATTGATATGGCCTTTTGATTACCTCATTTACAAGATCTCTGGCCTGCTCCATGTTGCAGAAAGTATCTGTTAAGCAAACTAATAAAAGTAAATTTAAATGAAATTATCAGGTTCCTAGGCACACTTTTCCATGCCTTCCTGCTACGCACTACACAAGACACTGTTCCATTGGCCAGCTGCAAAAATTACACCCAGAATGTCGCAGAAAGCATCTCTCCATGGCACTGCATCCTTCAGCCTGAGGGACTCATGGGTAGAGAATCCGACAGTGTGCTATGCTCCGGAGACTAGGGCAGCACATGGTTCTAGGTCATCCCAAGCATAAGAAGTTTATCGGGCTAAGAGCTTGGGTGTAGCTCAGTGGTCAGCATTCAAGAGACCCTGGATTCTATCCCTGACACCAAAACAAACAGAAAAGACAGGATCCGGGCCTGGTGACACATACCTGTAATCCCAGCACTTCAGAAGCTGAGGCAGGAAGATCACAAGTTCAAGGCCAACCTAAACTATGTAGAAATACCCTTTCTCAAAAAATACAAGCACATGTATGAGATGTGTCTTATGAAGAAGTCTGTGACTACACGGTTGAAGTAAATATGAAAATTATATAACTTTGATTCATTGATATCAACTTAGTTCTGTTTTCAAATGCCTTCAGATTATAACACTTTTCATGGAATAACACCTTGTTAATCTTCCGTGTTTTGATCTTTTTTAGATTCCCAGAGATGACCCTTCGACATTCACACCTTGGTCCATCCACGTGTCTTAATCTCATGCCTTTGAGGAAATACAGCTGATTCACTAGCCTCAAATCAGAGCAGCATACAAGTTGACTAGAATTTGTCAAGCATGATTTTACTAATTTTAGTTATTCTCTGTAATAAGGTTATTGTGTGATTACATTTTAGGGTGCAGATTTTCAACAAATAGTGTAATAAAACTTAGAATCCAATTCTGATTTAGTTTTCATCATCCTGGAAATTTGCATCATGGTACTTTTTAAACCTGGTGACGTTCCATTAACCTGGGGTGGCTTAGGAGGACCTCCCTGTGTTTTGTTCCAAACAGCTGTGTTCAAAACCCAACAAAACTGCCCAACCCAAAACTCTCTGGATTGGAGTCTCCCAAAACCAGGACCTGAAAAACCCCTTTTACAGCACCTGCCATTTCCTGTGGTATAAACACCATTACAAGGGCAAACTATAAGCCCTTGGGGAACCTGGATGTGCAGCTGGAGAGAGGAGCCCACTCGGGACTCCTGGGAGTGGCTGACTGGACTCCTGGGAGTGGCTGAGAGCTCTGTCTGCACTCAAGTCCCCACAGTGCAGACTCCTGCCTCCTGGATCTGCTCTGGTTTGAATACAGCTTCTTTCCAAAGGTGTGAGCTAGCAGCTTGGTCTCCGAGGTGGTGTTGTCAACTGTAAGAGGTGGAGTCTATCGAGAAGTGGTTAGTGAGGGCATGAAAGCTGGAATGGACTAGTTCCCAAAACTATGACAGAGAGGAGGGCCTCACCAAATGGGCAGTCATGTGACCTCGCCTCTAACCTATGAGCCTATAAACTCTTTTCTTGATGAAGTATCAAGCCTCTGGCATTTTGTTACCACAACAACACAAAACGATTGAAAGCACCATCAGAAGCTTCCAAATGACAACCCTCATCACCATGAACTATGTACGTGATAGAACATCCTCCTCGCCTAGATAACCACACTGAGCAGAGAGCATCAATCCAGGCCACTCTTGTACGGTTTTGATTTGGGATTGATGGCCAAGATGGCCAAGAGGTGAAATCAGAACTACTTCCTTTTACCACCAAAATAACACAAATCCACAAAATTCCTTTGCTTTTGGGCTCCTCTCTACCTATCTTACATTGCATCTTTTCCAAGGAAATGCACCCTAGGGAAGTGTAAAAGTGGAAATAAACAAACCAAATCTGTTGTCATGGATCTGTGTGGACATAAATGACTATAGTTGTGTGGTTAACATGTATGAGACCAGATTTTATTTTGTTTTTTTTGTTTTGTTTTGTTTTTGTTTTTTCGAGACAGGGTTTCTCTGTGTAGCTTTGCGTCTTTCCTGGAACTCGCTTTGGAGACCAGGCTGGCCTTGACTCACAGAGATCCGCCTGCCTCTGCCTCCCGAGTGCTGGGATTAAAGGCGTGCGCCACCACCGCCCGGCCTGAGACCAGATTTTAAAAGAACAGGCTGGGGGGCTGGAGAGGCGGCAAAGAGGGGAAAAGTGTTGCTGTGTGAGCATAAAAACCTGAGATCCTGGCACCCACAGAGAAAGCCAGCCAGGGCACCCCATCATGCCCCTGGAACCCCAGCACTAGGAAAGGTTTGGGGGCTTGTTGGCTGCCAGCCTAGCTCAAGGTTCAGTGAAGAAGGTCTGTCTTAAAGAAATAGGTGGAGAGGAATAGAGCAGGATACTCAGTACACTACCCTGGCCTCCATAAATGCACACACACACACACACACACACACACACACACACCAAAATAGGAAGCAGAGACCAGAGACCAGCAGGAGAAAGGCTCACCAGTTGCTGGGTCCTACTCTAAGGCATGGGTGCGTACATGTGCCTTTAAGTGTTTAATTTAATCTTTTAATTCCCCCAACAATCTACATTTCCTGGAACCTAGCCCACAAAGTGAATATGTCTAGACAGCAACAACAGTCTTGCTGCCTAACATACTTTGGTCATAGAACACAGAGGAAATTATGAAAACAGAGTGAAAGCCTCCCTAGTGGCTAGCCCTCAGAAGGGGCCGTGCAAGCTGGGGGGGGGCATGACGCTGGGGTTTGGGGGGGAAGGGGGGAGTCGTCATTCTCAGCTGTGGATCCTCAGAGCAACATAACTGACAGACCCCCCATGAGATGGGCGGTGGTGGCGCACACCTTTAATCTCAGCCCTCGGGAGGCAGAGCCAGGCGGATCTCTGTGAGTTCGAGGCCAGCCTGGTCTACAGAACAAGTTCCAGGACTACACAGAAAAACCCTGTCTCGGGGAGAGAGAGAGAGAGAGAGAGAGAGAGAGAGAGAGAGAGAGAGAGAGAGAG